TTGATCACTAATTGGGCGTCTCTGAATTTCATGAGATGTTTGGTGGAATTTCGGTGTTGTACACAGGCGTTGTTCAAGTTATCGTTCCTACATGCGTAAATGTGTTCATTGAGGCGGGTGTCGAGGTTTCTTGCTGTTTCACCTACGTAGATCTTGTCACAGCCTCCACAGGGTATAGTGTAAACTCCTGCATTGACTGGTTCGTGGTGCTTGGATTTTGTTCTGGTTAGATCCTTTATTGAAGTGCTGGAAGCGATGGCGACTCTGGTGTTAGCTTGTGAAAGTACTTTTGAGACGTTCAGTGCAACCTGACTGTTGGGAAGAATTATAACTTTGTTGGGAGTGGTGTTGATGCGTGGAGAATTAATGATCTGAAGAGCTCTTTTCTTGCAGTCTTTGATGAAAAAGGAAGGAAAATGTAGATCAGTGAATGTTTGGTGAATGTATGTACATTCCTCGTCAAAATCTCAGGACTACAAATTCGGTATGCTCTTAGGAAAAACCCGATGATGATGCCTCTTTTGGTCTTGGTATCTTGACTGGAATAGAAGTGTGTGAGATCATTTTTATTGGTGGGTTTCCGATAAACTTGAAATCTTAGGTTGTTGTTTACTTTGTGAATGAGGACGTCGAGGAAAGGTAGCTTGTCGTTGGACTCTTCTTCTAGTGTAAACTGGATCGCCGGTTCAACTGCGTTGAGCCTTGCCTGAAGATCCCGTACATCAAAACGTTTGGGAGTTATTACGAGGACGTCGTCCACGTAACGTAACCAAGTGACGCTTGAAGGGATGATGTTGGCGAAGTGTTCGGACTCTAGGTGTTCCATGTATAAGTTGGCTAGGACGGCACTGATGGGGGACCCCATTCCCATGCCGTAGGTTTGTTTGTAGAGCTTGTTATTGAAAGAAAAACAGTTGAAATTAACACAGAGTTCAATCAAGTCAACAGAATCTCCGGGAGGTACAGGAAGATTAAGGTCCTGATTGACTTTACGTCGTAGAACCTCGATGGCTTTTTTGGTAGATACTTTTGTGAAGAGGGAAGTCACATCCAAACTGCTTAGTTTCTTGTTACGGATGGAGAGGTTACGGATGCGGTTGAGAAGGTCGCCTGAGTGTTTAAGATGAGCGGGGCTGATGGTCCCCAGAAGGCAGGAAAGATGTTTGGCAAGAACTCCGGCTAGTTTGTGTGGAGCACTGCCTATTCCTGACGTGATTGGTCTGAGTGGAATATTGTGTTTATGGGTCTTGGGTAAACCATACATGTGTGCTGGTTTAGGGTTGCTTGGTAACAAGTACAGAAGTTTCTTCCCTTCTCTAGTGCGTTTGAGTATTTGTCTGGTTTTGTATAGAAAATCTTTGGTGAGCGTCTCCCACTGTTGAGTGCTGATGGGTTCGAATGTAGATTGATTATTCAAAAGGTCCATCATTTTAGTGTTGTAGTCACTGGTGTTGAGTATGACGACTCCACCTCCTTTGTCGGCGGTGGGAAACTTCTGTACTTGTTACCAAGCAACCCTAAACCAGCACACATGTATGGTTTACCCAAGACCCATAAACACAATATTCCACTCAGACCAATCACGTCAGGAATAGGCAGTGCTCCACACAAACTAGCCGGAGTTCTTGCCAAACATCTTTCCTGCCTTCTGGGGACCATCAGCCCCGCTCATCTTAAACACTCAGGCGACCTTCTCAACCGCATCCGTAACCTCTCCATCCGTAACAAGAAACTAAGCAGTTTGGATGTGACTTCCCTCTTCACAAAAGTATCTACCAAAAAAGCCATCGAGGTTCTACGACGTAAAGTCAATCAGGACCTTAATCTTCCTGTACCTCCCGGAGATTCTGTTGACTTGATTGAACTCTGTGTTAATTTCAACTGTTTTTCTTTCAATAACAAGCTCTACAAACAAACCTACGGCATGGGAATGGGGTCCCCAATCAGTGCCGTCCCAGCCAACTTATACATGGAACATGGAACCCGGGCCCTCCGGGCCCGGGTTCGATTCCCGGCGGGTGGAAACATTTCGACACGTTTCCTTACACCTGTTGTCCTGTTCACCTAGCAGCAAATAGGTACCTGGGTGTTAGTCGACTGGTGTGGGTCGCATCCTGGGGGACAAGATTAAGGACCCCAATGGAAATAAGTTAGACAGTCCTCGATGACGCACTGACTTTCTTGGGTTATCCTGGGTGGCTAACCCTCCGGGGTTAAAAATCCGAACGAAATCTTATCTTATCTCTTATCTCTTAACACCTAGAGTCCGAACACTTCGCCAACATCATCCCTTCAAGCGTCACTTGGTTACGTTACGTGGACGACGTCCTCGTAATAACTCCCAAACGTTTTGATGTACGGGATCTTCAGGCAAGGCTCAACGCAGTTGAACCGGCGATCCAGTTTACACTAGAAGAAGAGTCCAACGACAAGCTACCTTTCCTCGACGTCCTCATTCACAAAGTAAACAACAACCTAAGATTTCAAGTTTATCGGAAACCCACCAATAAAAATGATCTCACACACTTCTATTCCAGTCAAGATACCAAGACCAAAAGAGGCATCATCATCGGGTTTTTCCTAAGAGCGTAATACCGAATTTGTAGTCCTGAGTTTCTTGACGAGGAATGTACTTACATTCACCAAACATTCACTGATCTACATTTTCCTTCCTTTTTCATCAAAGACTGCAAGAAAAGAGCTCTTCAGATCATTAATTCTCCACGCATCAACACCACTCCCAACAAAGTTATAATTCTTCCCAACAGTCAGGTTGCACTGAACGTCTCAAAAGTACTTTCACAAGCTAACACCAGAGTCGCCATCGCTTCCAGCACTTCAATAAAGGATCTAACCAGAACAAAATCCAAGCACCACGAACCAGTCAATGCAGGAGTTTACACTATACCCTGTGGAGGCTGTGACAAGATCTACGTAGGTGAAACAGCAAGAAACCTCGACACCCGCCTCAATGAACACATTTACGCATGTAGGAACGATAACTTGAACAACGCCTGTGTACAACACCGAAATTCCACCAAACATCTCATGAAATTCAGAGACGCCCAATTAGTGATCAAAGAAACTAATTTCCGCAGACGCAAGTGCCTCGAATCAGCACTGATCGCTGTTTCGAATACAATTAAATAAAACAACGGCAGCTTCACCATCTCCGAAGTCTTAGCAAGAATCCTCCTGAAAACAGTAAACCCTGCCATCACATAGTCTCTCCTGTTATACTACACAAAGCACAGAGAGTGAACACTGAAACAAGCTGCCTCTTTCCAGTCTATATTTGTCCAACCTATTTTTATGTTACCCAAGTAATAGCTTTTATATCCTTTTACTCTTGTACGAATTAATTGCTCTACCATATTGTATTACTTTTGTCACTACTACTACTACTACCACTAGTGAACATCTAAATGGTACCTCGCTAGTATTACACCTCACTCTGAGCCTTTATATACCCTCTGTGTCCATGTATTGTTTGTAATGGCTTGATAAAGTTCCTGGAGAGCGAAACGTTGCCACAATAAAATGTCACATTAGTTGCACTTGTGTCCTTTTACTTTACATACTAATACCTTGCCATCACATACCTGCTACCACTGCTACTATCCTGTCATCACATACCTGCTACCACTGCTACTACTGCCCTGTAATTACATACCTGCTACCAATTCTACTACTACCCTGTTATTACATACCTGCTACCACTGCTGCTACTACCCTACCATCACATACCTGCTACCACTGCTACTACTACCCTGCCATCACATAAATGCTACTACTACCCTGCCATCACATACCTGCTGCTACTACCCTGCCATCACATACCTGCTACCACTGCTACTACTACCCTGTCATCACATACCTGCTACCACTGCTACTACTGCCCTACCATCACATACCTGCTACCACTGCTACTACTGCCCTGCAATCACATACCTGCTACCACTGCTACTACTACTACTACCCTGCCATCATATACGTGATACCACTGCTACTACTACTACTACCGTGTCATCACATACCTGATACTACTACTACTACTACCACAATTACTACAACTACTAATACTATCACAAGCACTATAACTACTACCACAAGTACTATTACCGCAAGTACTACTACTACTACCACCACAAGTAGTACTACTACCACAAGTACTACTACTGGAGTTTACCTACATTGAGTACATTGTGCCTACACCTCACTCTAAGCCTATATATACCCTCTGTGTCCATGTTTGTTACGGCTTGATAAAGCTCCTAGAGAGCGAAACGTTGCCACAATCATATGTCACATTAGTTGTACTTGTGCCCTTTTACCTAACATATTCTGGGTAATTCTACCAACCTTATTACGTGGAAAAAAAAATATGCATGGGGAAGTCAAAAGACCGAACACATGAAGACAACCCAACCTTTAAAGCACTCACAGAGACTAAACATCCAGGAATTACACAAGAAAGTTAAGAGAGTACACTATTGAGGGTACAGCAGAATACAGCAAGATAATCACTGCTAGTTAAGAGAGTACAGCAGAATACAGCAAGGTAATCACTGCTTGTTAAGAGAGTACAGCAGAATACAGCAAGGTAATCACTGCTTGTTAAGAGAGTACAGCAGAATACAGCAAGGTAATCACTGCTAGTTAAGAGAGTACAGCAGAATACAGCAAGGTAATCACTGCTAGTTAAGAGAGTACAGCAGAATACAGCAAGGTAATCACTGCTAGTTAAGAGAGTACAGCAGAATACAGCAAGGTAATCACTGCTAGTTAAGAGAGTACAGCAGAATACAGCAAGGTAATCACTGCTAGTTAAGAGAGTACAGCAGAATACAGCAAGGTAATCACTGCTAGTTAAGAGAGTACAGCAGAATACAGCAAGGTAATCACTGCTAGTTAAGAGAGTACAGCATAATACAGCAAGGTAATCACTGCTAGAACAATAAATATAGGTGAATACAGCTAGGGGAAGAACCAATACTCACCTAACTCTCGCCAGCACCTGCTGCAGTGGTCATAATTCGCACATTTCTCTCCACAGTGCACTTGGAAAAACACTTTTATTTTTTAAACGTGACTACATATTAATTTAGAGATATAAATACTTTTCTAGACAATTATTAGGAGACAGTGTTATTATGACTGTGGCAGTGACCAAGTATCACTGTTGTGAAGTGTCACTGTCACCAAGTGTCACTGTCACCAAGTGTCACTGTCACCAAGTGTCACTGCCACAGTTACCAAGTGCCACTCTCATCAATTATCACTGTCACCAAGTGTCACTGCCAGTCACCAAGTGTCACTGTCATCAAGTATCACTGTCACCAAGTGTCACTGCCACAGTTACCAAGTGCCACTCTCATCAATTATCACTGTCACCAAGTGTCACTGGCACAGTTACCAAGTGCCACTCTCATCAATTATCACTGTCACCAAGTGTCACTGCAGTCACAAGTGTCATGCCGTCACCAGGGGGTCACTGTCACCAAAGTGTCACTCCCACATTTTTACCAAGTGCCACTCTCATCAATTATCACTGTCACCAAGTGTCACTGCCAGTCACCAAGTGTCACTGCCAGTCACCAGGTGTCACTGTCACCAAGTGTCACTGCCACAGGTACCAAGTGCCACTCTCATCAATTATCACTGTCACCAAGTGTCACTGCCAGTCACCAAGTGTCACTGCCAGTCACCAAGTGTCACTGCCAGTCACCAGGTGTCACTGTCACCAAGTGTCACTGCCAGTCACCAGGTGTCACTGTCACCAAGTGTCACTGCCACAGTTACCAAGTGCCACTCTCATCAATTTCACTGTCACCAAGTGTCACTGCCGGGTCACAAGTGTCCTGCCAGTCACAGGTGTCACTGTCACCAAGTGTCACTGCCACAGGTACCAAGTGCCACTCTCATCAATTATCACTGTCACCAAGTGTCACTGCCAGTCACCAAGTGTCACTGCCAGTCACCAGGTGTCACTGTCACCAAGTGTCACTGCCACAGGTACCAAGTGCCACTCTCATCAATTATCACTGTCACTAAGTGTCACTGCCAGTCACCAGGTGTCACTGTCATCAAGTATCACTGTCACCAAGTGTCACTGCCACAGTTACCAAGTGTCACTGTCATCAAGTATCACTGTCACCAGGTGTCACTGTCGCAGTCAGCCACCAGGTGTCACTGTCAGTCACAAAGTATCACTGTTAGTCACTGTCACCACGTATCACTGTCAGTCAGTTACCAGGTGTCACTGTCAGTCACCATGTGTCACTACCAGTCCCCAGGTATCACTGCCAGTCCCCAGGTGTCACTGCAAGTCACCAGGTGTCACCGTGAGTCACCAGGTGTCACTGCTAGTCAGTCATCAGGTGTCACTGTGAGTCACCAGATGTCACTGTGAGCCACCAGGAGTCACTGTGAGTCACCAGGTGTCACTGTGAGTCACCAGGTGTCACTGTGAGTCACTAGGTGTCACTGTGAGTCACTAGGTGTCACTGTGAGTCACTAGGTGTCACTGTGAGTCACCAGGTGTCACTTGCCAACACTAACAGCAGTGATAACTTCACTAGGTCTATCAAATACCACAGAGGCACACTGGAATAATTAATAATCAACCTTGAAAGGTTGTAGGCTGGCGAAGGTAGGCCTATCTGGTAAATGTAGACAGTAGTCTGGCGGCTGCGTGACTATCGTAGACGGATAGTCTACAAGACACGGTGATAGTAACACTACTGAGACTAGAGGTAGGTAGCCTGCCTCTACACCTTAAAATAGGCCTCTCTCTGAGCGGCCCACACGACCCTATCTTTGTTTATCTTGCGTCCCGAGGGTGCCCATACGCATGCGATGCTCTCTTGTCCTGCTGGTGGGTACTATGTCCCCTGGTACACTCCCTGCTTTACACTGCTGCCTCATACCCTGCTGTGTTAGAGCAGTGTAGGGTATGGTAGAGGAGAATGTCAGCTAGTGTGGTTTGCTGGGCACCATACCCATCACTCGCCTGCCCCTGTCCATCCCCTACTACCCCTACCACAGCTGATACCAACCCCTATACACTACCCAATACCCAGTACTCTCCTATCCTTCTCCTATCCATCACTTCTAGTAATACCTGCTTCAGAACCATGTAATATTATTTCTAACTGGGATAGTATCTAGCAGGGGATGGAGGGTAGGGTCAGGGCGATGTCCCTGTATGGCAGGGTCTGGTCCTAACCTACATGGGTAAGACTTCCCCACCTGTCCCCACTAGCCCATGTTAATGTTGGCTACCCACACCTCAACACACACACTTGTACATCACTGTACTATCCTCACACACACTTGTACATCACTGTACTATCCTCACACACACTTGTACATCACTGTACTATCCTCACACACAAATTGTACATACTGTACTATCCTCACACACACTTGTACATCACTGTACTATCCTCACACACACTTGTACAACACTGTACTATCCTCACACACGCTTGTACATCACTGTACTATCCTCACACACACTTGTACAACACTGTACTATCCTCACACACTCTTGTACATCACTGTACTATCCTCACACACACTTGTACATCACTGTACTATCCTCACACACACTTGTACATCACTGTACTATCCTCACACACACTTGTACATCACTGTACTATCCTCACACACTCTTGTACATCACTGTACTATCCTCACACACACTTGTACATCACTGTACTATCCTCACACACTTGTACATCACTGTACTATCCTCACACACTTGTACATCACTGTACTATCCTCACACACTCTTGTACATCACTGTACTATCTTCACACACTTGTACATCACTTTTACTTATCCTCACCCCACACTTGTACATCACTGTACTATCCTCACACACTCTTGTACATCACTGTACTATCCTCACACACACTTGTACATCACTGTACTATCCTCACACACACTTGTACATCACTGTACTATCCTCACACACTCTTGTACATCACTGTACTATCCTCACACACACTTGTACAACACTGTACTATCCTCACACACACTTGTGCATCACTGTACTATCTTCATACACACTTGTACATCACTGTACTACCCCACCAACTTGTACATCACTGTACTATCCTCACACACTTGTACATCACTGTACTATCCTCACACACTTGTACATCACTGTACTATCCTCACACAGTTGTACATCACTGTACTATCCTCACACACACTTGTACATCACTATACTATCCTCACACACACTTGTACATTACTGTACTATCCTCACACACTCTTTTACATCCTGTTCTATCCTCACACACACTTGTCATCACTGTCTATCCTCACACACACTTGTACATCACTGTACTATCCTCACACACACTTGTACATCACTGTACTATCCTCACACACTCTTGTACATCACTGTACTATCCTCACACACACTTGTACATCACTGTACTATCCTCACACACACTTGTACATCACTGTACTATCCTCACACACACTTGTACATCACTGTACTATCCTCACACACTTGTACATCACTGTACTATTTCCTCACACACTTGTAATACTGTACTATCCTCACACACTTGTACATCACTGTACTATCCTCACCACATTGTACATCACTGTACTATCCTCACCACACTTGTACATCACTGTACTTCTTCACACACACTTGTACATCACTGTACTATCTTCACCACACCCCTTGTACACACTGTACTATCTTCACACCACTTGTACATCACTGTACTTCTTCACACCACACTTGTACATCACTGTACTATCCTCAACACACTTGTACATCCCCTGTACTATCTCACAACACTTGTACTCACTGTACTATCCTCACACACTTGTACATCATTGTACTATCCTCACACACACTTGTACATCACTGTACTATCCTCACACACACTTGTACATCACTGTACTATCCTCACACACACTTGTACATCACTGTACTTCCCCACAAACACTTGTACATCACTGTTTCTATCCTCACCACACTTGTCATCACTGTACTACACACACACACACACACACACACACACACACACACACACACACACACACACACACACACACACACACACACACACACAACACAAGTGTGAAGGCAAATCTTGTATCACAAACCTCCTGGAGTTTTTGACAAGGTAACAGAAGACACGAGAGAGAGGGGTTTGGGTTTGATTGCGTTTTCCTAGGGCTGCAGGAAGGCCTTTGACACAGTTCCCCCCAAGAGATTAGTGCAGAAGCTGGAGGATCAGGCACACGTTTAAAAGGAAGGGCACTGCAATGGATAAGGGAAAAACCCGACAGGGGGGGGCCCGCAACGAGTCATGGTACGTGAAGAGGTATCACAGTGGGCGCCTGTTACGAGCGGGGTCCCACACGGGTCAGTTCTAGGACCAGTGCTATTTTTGATATATGTAAACGACATGATGGAAGGAATAGACTCTGAAGTGTCCCTGTTCGCAGATGACGTGAAGTTGATGAGAAGAATTTTAAAACGGACGAGGAGAGGCAGGACTGCAAAAAAGACCTGGAGGGGGCTGGACATGTGGTCCAGTAACTGGCTTCTCGAATTCAATCCAGCCAAATGCAAAGTCATGAAGATTAAGAACATAAGAACATAAGAACGAAGGAACACTGCAGAAGGCCTACTGGCCCGTGCGAGGCAGGTCCAAGTTTTCCTACCGGCTTAAGCCAATGCACCCCAAACCCAGACAGGTCAGGTCACATTGACTTAAGGGAGAAACACGGCAACCGACCTGGTAGCACAAGCTATCAGGTCTAACTCACACCCACCCACATCTACTCATGTATTTATCCAAAACCCATTTTTAAAGCTACACAACGTTCTGGCCTCTATAACTGTACTTGGGGTTTGTTCCATCATCCACAACTTATTTTCCAAACCGTACTTTCCTATATCCTTCCTGAATCTGAAATTTTTTCCAACTTAAAACCATTGCTACGAGTCCTGTCTAGGCTAGATATTTTCAGCACACTATTTTTCATCCCTTTATTTATTCCTGTTTTTCCCTTTATAACCTCAATATATCCCCCCTAATTCTACGTCTTTCTAGAGAGTGCAGATTCAGGGCCCTTAGTCTATCCCCATAGGGAAGGTTTCTGATACATGGATCAACTTTGTCATCCTCCTTTGTACATTTTCCAGAGAATTTATACATTCTGTAATACGGTGACCAAAATGTGCACATAAACTAAATGAGGGCCAACCAGGATGAAGGTTTAAGAACAACTGAGGATCCATTTTTTAGTGGTAATAAACCTAGTGGGTACTTACCTGTAGTAATAACCTTCGTGGTAAAATAAAACTAGTGGTAATTCCCTAGTGGTAATAACCTAGTGGTAATAACTAGTGGTAATTACCTAGTGGTATAACCTAGTGGTTAATTACCTAGTGGTAATTACCTAGTGGTAATAACCCTAGTGGTAATAACCTTACATGACTGGTAATACACTGTGGTTAATAAACATAGTGGTAATAACCTAGTGGTTAATAACCTAGTGGTAATAACTAGTGGTCATAACCTGGGGTAATAACTTAGTGGTAATAACTAGTGCTAATAACCTAGAGTGGTTAAAACCTAGTGGTAATAAACCTGTGGTATTAACTAGTGGAATTCCTAGTGGTAATAAAACTCGTGGTTAATCACCTAGTGGGTAATACCCTAGTGGTAATAACCTAGTGGTAATAACCTAGTGGTATAACCTAGTGGTAATAAACTAGTGGTAATAAACCTAGTGGGTAATACCTAGTGGTAATTACTAGTGGTATTAACCTCGAGTGGTTAATAAACCTAGTGTTAATTACCTAGTGGTTAATTACCCTAGTGGTAATAACTAGTAGGTCATTTTACTGTGGTTAATGACCTAGTTGGTAATAATGGTAATAACCTAGTGGTAATAAACTTAGTTGGTAATAACCTAGTGATAATAACTTAGTGGTAATACACCTAGTGCGTAATAACTAGTGGTAATACCTAGTGGTAATACCTATTGGTAATTACCTAGTGGGAATAAATAACTAGTGGTAATAACCTAGTGGTAATTACCTAGTGGTAATAACATAGTGGAGTGGTAGTTACCTAGTGGTAATCACCTAGTGTAATACTCAGTGGTAATAACTTGTGGTAATACCTAGTGGTAATTACTAGTGGGTAATTACCTCAGTGGTAATAACCTAGTGGTAATAACTTAGTGGTAATAACCTAGTGGTAATAACTTAGTGGTAATAACCTAGTGGTAATAACCTAGTGGTAATAACCTAGTGGTAATTACCTAGTGGTAATAAACCTAGTGGTAATTCCTTGTGGTAAAACCTAGTGGTATATTAACCTAGTGGTAATACCTAGTGGTAAATCCTAGTGGTAATTGCCTAGTGGTAATAACTTAGTGGTAATAACCTAGTGGTAATAACCTAGTGGTAATAACCTAGTGGTAATAACCTAGTGGTAATTACCTAGTGGTAATAACCTAGTGGTAATAACCTAGCTGGTAAATTCCCTAGAGGGAATAACTAGTGTACTAACCTATTGGTAATAACCTCAGTGGTACTTAACCTAGTGGTAATAACCGAGTGCGGTAATTACCTAGTGGTAATAACTAGTGGTAATAACCTAGTGGTAATAACCGAGAGTGGTAATTACCTAGTGAGAATATTACCTAGTGGTAATAACCTAGTGTAATAACCGCAGTGGTAATAACCTAGTGGTAATAACCTCGTGGTAATAA